ATAGGCTCAGAGTTTGGGGACGTCAGGTAAGGGTAACAGCAGGATCCCGTGGAGTCACACAGAGGGGTTGGCACTGGAGGGGGTGTGTGTGGCAGGAAGCCATTGAGGTGGGCTCTTGAAGTTACGAGATTTGGAAACCGACTGAACAGACAGCCCCAGGAGCAAAGCCCCTACTACAGGCATGCCCTCCCAACGCCCGTCTGCCCAAACACCACCCCTCCCCTCCTCCTGCAACAAGCAGAGGCAGGGCCCTGGGTCCTCGGCCAAGGCCGAATAGCAGGGCAGGGCCGCTGGGCAGGGGCAGGTCCCGCTGAGAGAGGGGCTCCCCCACCATGCTCTCCTGGGTCTGCCTCCGGGCAGGTGAGGACTGAGGGCAGAGGGCCTGGTGTACCTGAGGCAGCCCCGCTCTCCCCGAATGACAGCAGGACCTGAGTCAGCGCCCCCAGCCCAGCCCCCAGGGCTCCAGTCCAGATGCAGGTGTTGGCCAGGAGGCCAGGATCCAGATTCGCCAGCGAGCAGGGGGAAGGCAGGAGAGCCTGCTTCCTCTGCGTGGCTGGCCTGGCTCTCCCCGTGCAGACTCAGCGCTGGAGCAGCTGAGGCCCTTGGCCTTCCCTCACAGCAGGAATTCCGTTCTTGGACTTCAGTTCTCAAGAGCAGAGGCCTCACCGCCTCACAGGGGCCCCCATACTCTGGCTCTGCAGCCCTGACACAGTGAAAGCCACCATTTATGGCAATTTCTTATGGGCCAGGCACTATGCCACCCCCACACAGTTTACTTCTCAGTGACATCCACGAGGCAGGTGCAGCTAGCACCACCCCATCCCCATCCTGCAGAAACGGTATCTGAGGAGCCGAGCCGTTGTCTTGCTTCCAATCACGCGCACAGACGGGCATTTCTCACCGCCGTCCAATAGCAGAGCCAGGAAGCCAGGAAACCTCGACAGCAACGAGCACACCCAGCAACCGCCTCTTGGTTCCTATACGCCGCTCACCAATACAAGGAACCACATAGCCCTAACCTGTTTGGCTCAGTGGATAGAGCATCAGCCTGCAGACTGAAAGGTCCCAGGTTCGATTCCGGTCAAGGGCATGTACCTTGGTTGCAGGCACATCTCCAGAAAGGGGTGTGCAGGAGGCAGCTGATCGATGTTTCTCTCTCATTGATGTTCCTAACTCTCTATCCCTCCCCTTCTTCTCTGTAAAAAAATCAATTAAAAATATATTAAATAAAAAATAATTTAAAAAGGAACCACACACTTTAGAGAAAGGGCAGATTCTACCCAGGAGGCAGGGAGACTACAAGATGAGCTTGGAGCATCTTATGGTGCCAGAAAGTAAGGAAATGCTCAGAACAAAAGCAAAAACAAAAGGATGGGAGGATGTCAGACAGACACAGGAGCCCACCTGGAAAAGCTCCCAATGGCTGAAACTGGAACAATGGACACAGCGGAGTAAACACCTTCATGTGGAAGTATAACCCAAAGGGTAATACAGATATATTGCTGGGCCCACACTGCTGGAAATAAATGATTGGTTAAATACATGGGGAGGGGGGACAAATCTTTCTTTCAAAAGAATTCCAAATAATATATGTGGATCCCTCCGCCAGGAGGTGGGGCCAGCCTCCCACGCACCTCACACACACTTCCACGGGGGCTCCACTTGCCTGCGAGGAACAAAGCCTGGCAGCCCTTGGCGGTTTGGCTCAGTGGATAGAGCATCAGCCTGCGGACCAAAGGGTTCTGGGTTCTATTTGAGTCAAGGGCAAGATGGATAGAGCATCAGCCTGTGGACCAAAGGGTTCTGGGTTCTATTTGAGTCAAGGGCATGTACCTTAGTTGCAGGCTTCTTCCTGGCCCAAGCCCTGGTCCTGGTTGGGGCTCGTGCAGGAGGCCATCAATTGATGTGTTTCTCTCACATAGATGTTTCTCTCCGTCTCTCCCCCTCTCTTCCATTCTCCCTAAAAATCAATGGAAAAATATCCTCGGGTGAGGATTAACAATAACAACAAAAACATGGCAGACAGCAGCCTAGCCATGTAATCAAAGTTAACTTCACCAGTAAGAAGTCACATGCCCCCTGAGGTCATGTGACGAGAAAGGCCCTGGGCCTCTGTGGTATTCTTGCCCCAAACCCATAACTCCTGTCTAGTCATGAGGAAAACATCAGACAAACCCAAACGGAGGGACAGCCTAACAAAATACCAACCAGAACGCCTCAAAATTGGCAAGCTCATGAAAAACAAGGAAAGACTGAGACACCGTCATAGACTGGGCGAGACTAAATGCCATGTGGGTTCCTGAATTGGGTCCTGGAACAGAACGAGGACGTTGGTGGAAAAACTGGTGAAACCCAAATACAGTTTGGAGCTCAGTTAATAGCCATGTACCGATGTTGGTTTCTGAGCTCTGACGACTGTTCCATGGCAATGGAAGATGTTGACAGCAGGGAAAACAGGCGGGTGTATGGAACTCTCTGTACAATCTTTGCCACTTTTCTGTAACTAAAAGCTTTATTAAAAAAAAAAAAAACACCACATGGGGTATAAACATCTGAACCAGAATTTGAATTCAGGTGTGCCTGCCTCCTTAGCTCACACCCTCCACCCTCCTGAATAATCTCGTTAGACAGAAACCCCCAAAGGTTTCTTTTTTGAATCGAACCCGGGACCCTTCAGTCTACAGACTAAAGCTCTATCCATTGAGCCAAACAGGCTAGAGCCCCAAAGGTTTCTTCATGGGCATGAGCTTCTCCCCATTTGCCCATGTTTGCCCTCGGGGACCACCCAAACTCAGTTCTCTTTGCTCCACCACCTCCTTTTGAGGGCTAAGGGATGCTCCCATCCCCCCAACTGTTCTCTATTTCCTGGTCCCCCCACTCTCTTGAGTGACGTGGGTTCCGATGAATTGGCCTCAGCATTTGCCCTTCCTTTGCAACAGCCAGATTCCTCTTGCGGATCCATTCAATTTCAGGGCTGACAATTCCCCAATCTGGCTCCAGGGATACAGAACACATGACCTAGGCTTAGGTCCATCAGCACACACCAGCCCCTGACTTCCGTGATCAGCCCAGAGGAAGCCATGTAATCCACGCTCGTCCAATCAGAGAGGTCTTTGAGAAAGGGGGCGGGAGGAAAGGGGCGAAGACAATTCTCTTCTTCCATGTTGGTTGTGAATGAAGAAGCCCCTCAGAGCCTGGCTGGTGTTGCTCAGTGGTTAAGCATTGACCTATGAACCTGGAGATCACGGTTCAATTCCCAGTCAAAGTACATGCTCAGGCTGCAGGCTAAATTCTGCAGTGGGGTGTGTGCAGAAGTCAGCCAATCAATTATTCTCTCTCATCGATGTTTCTATCTCTGTCTCCCTCTCCCTTCCTCTCTGAAATCAATAAAAACCTATTAAAAAGAAGAAGAAGCCCTTGGGTGTCTTAGGATGAAGCTGACATCAAGAACAACAGAATAGAGAAATGTAAAGAGTTGCGTTCTCATGCCCTGACCGGTTTGGCACAGTGGATAGAGCGTCAGCCTACGGACTCAAGGGTCCCAGGTTCGATTCCGGTCAAGGGCATGTACCTTGATTGCAGGCACATCCCAGGTAGGGGGTGTGCAGGAGGCAGCTGATTGATGTTTCTCTCTCATTGACATTTCTAACTCTCTATCCCTCTCCATTCCTCTCTGTAAAAAAATCAATAAAATAAAGTTTCGTTCTCATAACAATGAGCCACTGGATCGAGCCTTGCCTGAAGTCCACTTTGACTCTACACTTCCCAGTTACGAGAACCATGGTAGATGGAGAAAGGGTCTCCCAAAATACATCCACATTCTAATGCCTAGAACCTATGAATGTCATCTCATAGAACAAAAAAGGGGAGGAGGAGGAAGAGGAGGAGGAGGAGGAGGAGGAGGAGGAGGGGGAGGAGGAGGAGGAGGAGGAGAAGAAGAAGAAGAAGAAGAAGAAGAAGAAGAAGAAGAAGAAGAAGAAGAAGAGGAGGAGGAGGAGGAAGAAGAAGAGGAAGGAGAAGGAGAAGAGCGTGAGTCATTGTAGAGGGGACTTAAGAAATATAAGATGGATTTAAGTTAAGAATTAAGAATCCGGGTGGGCCCCAGATGCAATCACACGTATCCTTAAAAGAAGGAGGCAGAGAAATATTTGACATAGACACTCAGAGAAGGCAAGGTGACCACAGAGCCAGAGACTGGAGCGATACAGCTGCCGGCCTAGGAATGCTGGCAGCCACCAGAAGCTGAACCAGGCAAGGAACCCTTCTCCCCAGAGCACAGCGCCACTCCAGGCGCCTGGACTTGGCCCAGGGATGCCAATTTCAGACTCCTGGCCTCCGGAACTGCGAGAGAACGGATTTCTGTTGCTTTATATCACCTGCTTTGCAGGAATTTGTTACAGCAACTGTAAGAAACAAGTGCAAGGACTAATACATTCTCTTCACTATTTAAGCCTATTTGAACCTGCTGCTTTGCTAATAGCAGCCCTCTCTCTCCCTCCTCTGGTTAAGAGGGGAACTCGACCAAAGAGAAATCCCGAGGGGAGGCAGCCCAAGACCTTCCTGATCTTCAGGGGGGAATGGAGTACCAGATGGCTCACAGACTCCAAGCAAAGGCATGATGGGAGTTTATTTACAGACAAGTCACAGCCAGGACCCACCCAGGCTCTGGCCAGAAGATTCCAGATACATAGAGGCCACAGGACCCATTAGTACTAGAGCCTTCCCCAGCCAGGCCCCTGGTGAAGGGACCAAGAGTCAGGCAGGGTCAAGGACACGGAAGACAGGGCCCCAATCCTTGCCAGATGGCAGAGGCCCCCAGGCCAGAGGAAGGAGCGCCCTCGGCCCTGAAGAGTGGACACCGAGAAGCAACAGCTGTTCTCGATGCCGGGCCGCAGAGCAGCAGTCCCAGTGCAGTGGCTCGGGGAGCGGAGACACTGCAGGTCCCCTGGGACCGGTCCCGGAGCGGGCACGGAGCGGGTGTCCCAGGCCCCGGCTGCCCGTCACGCCGGGGGCTCCCCCAGTTTGCTGGTGGCACTCGTGATCCGCTTGTTCTCCCGGAGGTTCCGGAGGCGGGCGCTGAGGCTGCTGATCTCCTCCACGTAGGCCTGGGGCACCCACCCCTTCTCGCCGTCTGCCAGGCGGACACCCTCCAGCCAGCCTGGGGGCGCACAGCCAGGAGCAGCATCAGTGGCATCCGAGGGCACCAGGGCCGGGCTGCGAGGGGACGCCTAGGCCCTGTTGCAAGCCTCGTCTGCACCCCAGACACCGCGGTGACACCATCTCAGCATCGCCCAGCTCCAGGAAGGACCCTGCCTCTGGCATTCTGCTAGAGCAGTGTTTCCCAAACTTGTGACATACGTGTGCCCCTTCTATAATTTTCGTAACGCTGAGTACCCCTCGTACTCATGAGAACGTAGAATCAGGCGCAGCTAAGCGCGGTGCAGTGCATATCCCCCCCAAACTCCGGTGCAACGCGTACCCCCACCAAACTCTTCCTGTACCCCTGGGGGTACGCGTACCACACTGTGGGAAACACTGTCCTAGAGGAACTTCTGACCTGTTTCTCACAGCCCTCCCCCCCACACACACATCCTCAAAGAAGGTCATTTCCCTCTCTCCCCCGCCAGTCACTCTCAATCCCACATCTTTACAAGCAGGAAGTTCCTCCTCTTGTCTAACTTCATTCCTGCATGCTGTGGCTGAGCAACACTTGCATGACCTTTCCCTGTGACGTCTAGCCATCTAGCTACCTCCTGCTCCCGAGAACGCCACCGGGAGGCCCTCCCGGGAGGCCCTCTCACCGTCACTGGTCCGGGTCCTCACTGCCAGGATGTCAGTCTTCTCCAAGGTCAGCTCGTCAGGCTGCAGGGCCTTGTACGTGCGGACACACTGCACCTGGGGGCGGTCTGACAGCCCAAGAGCGACTGAGGGAGTGCCCAGGGCGTGATGGGGCCGGCAGGGAGGGGCAGAGGAGGAAGTACGGGGGTGGGAGGGCGGCTGCTGCTGCTGCTGCTGCTGCTTCTTTTCCTCCGCCCCTCCCTGGCCCACCCTGGCTGCTCTTCTCCTCTCTCACCCTAAACACAAGCCCCAGTGAGTCCAGTCCCTCCCAGATTCCGTTGCTGCACCCAGAGCTCTCTCCTCCCAGCTCATTACTACACCTTGCTCCTGACCTCCAGGCCAATGTCCAACTGCCCCCAGAACCCCCCCCCCCCACAAAAAGCACTCACAGCCCCTTCCTATGCCCCCTAATGCTCCGTAGTGCTCCCTCCAGGCCACCCTCCTCACCTGGGATTCAAGCCTCATCGCTCCCCGTTCCTAACCCTCCAGGGCTTCCTGCTCCTTTTAGAATGAAGTCCCAAGTCCTCCCTGCAGCCTACAAAGCCCTGTGTGGTCTGGCATTGCCCCTTGCTAACCGCCTCTCCTTCCCCCCCCCCCCCTTTCTCATGAAACTCAGCCACATTGCTCACCCGGCTGTTCCTCAGACACTCTTGAAATCCCACCTGCCTCAGGGCCTTTGAACTAGCTGTCCCTCCCACCAGGAGTGCTCCCCCCCAGATCTCTGCACTCCTCCTGCCCCTCTTCATCTTTCAGGGTCCTTCCCTGAGCCCCTCTTTAGAATGGGAAGCTCGCCCACCAACCTGAGCAGGATTCCTAGCTCAAGCCCGGGAATGTGTTCCGATCCAGGCCCTCAGCTTTTCCTGTCACCCTAGACGGGCTGGTCGCGTTGGGAAAACCACACATCTGGGGCCACACCTGACTTTGAATCTCAGCCCTGCCACTGACTAGTGGGGTGAACTCGGACAAGTCGCCTTACCACTCTGAATCTCTGTTCTCTAACCTGTAAAATGGGCTTCTGTGGGGATGTGCTGGGAGGATATAAAAGGCTCTGTCACCTCCAGGGTGCTGTCCGTGCGCACAGGGGTCGGCCTGTCCTATGTGAATTCTGTCCATCCTTCAAGGTTCTGCAGAGCCGTCCCTGGCTGCCCCGGGCAGCTGACCTCTCTCCCTGTAGTCCTGCTGGCTGCCTGGCACCCAGGATTGGAGGAAAGGGGGAAGCAAGGTACCCAGCCCAGGGGTGTGGGCCTCAGAGGGAGGAGGTTGGCAGGCTCTACCTTCCCCCTCGCTGATGACCTCCTGGTCTTCCTGGGGGCTGGAGGGGCACATGGCAGAGATCCATCGCTGCTTCTCACTTCTAGAAAAGGGAGGCCAGGGCATCACAGCATGCAAACTGCATTCTCAGGGCCAGGGTGGTGAGACAGCTGGGACACGGGGTATGATCCAGACCCACCAGGTCATGTATGATGCCCACCCCAGGACTCACCTCACAGCCCTGTGCCCTACCAGCTTTGAGCATAAGAACAGAGTAAGCCCAGACCCCCCTGGGTGCCAGCTCTGCCCATGCTCTGCCTCATGCCACTGTCCTGAAGCCAGAGAAAGAAGGCCAGAACCTGCCTGGGACGGGTCCTCCCTCCCCAGCCCCAGGCCCACTCACTCCGTGCGGGCCCTCAGCAGGAACTGGTGCTTCGTGTGCTGCCCGTGCAGGAGCTGGAGGAGGAACACGTGGCCGGGGATGCCTTGGGGCTTCAGGCTCAGGTCCTTCACCTGCAGCTCGGCCATCTTGGCGTGGACAAAAACGGCAAACTTGCCCAGCCTACGGGACCAGGGGAGGCGAGGTCAGCCTGGCCCATGCCCGGGCTCCCGGGCCCCACCCTCAGGACCAGCCAAGTTCTGATGAAAGGGAGGAGGAGTCAGCTGCCTCTCTAGCATCCTCCTCCAGGAAACTCGAGTGCGCAGGGCACCACCTCCCTGGGAGCCAGCAGAGTCCGCAAGAGGAACTGGGAACTCTGTTCCTAGCAGATCCCTGGCAGGTGGAAGGGGAGACCAGCCTCTGACCCCAGGCATGTTGTCAACTTCTCTCTGAGCCTCTGCCCTGAGCCCGTTCTAAGAGCCCACTGGGCAGCAACTCTGATGAGACCTCGTCTCTGTTTAGTGGAGTCTAGCATCCGACAGACTGGGGCTCCTTCTGGCCCCTGGACTATCAGCTCCGAGATACTGACAACAATGAGGGAGCCTACTCACCAGGGAACTAGTTAGAGGGCAACAGGGAGTAACCCACATAGCACGCCTGGCCCAGGACAGGCGCATGGCGAATGCTGGCTGTTACCGTTACGACTCGGGGCAGAGCTGGGACTCCAGGGCTGAGCTCTAATTGGCTTAAGCTCAGAGCAGCTTCAAGTTCGTTGTACACAGTCCAGCCCTTGATTCTAGAAGATGAACTTGCCTTTCCTGCCGAAGCCTCCCAGGCTCAGGGTGCCCTGGCAACACCGTCTGGTGCAGGCTGGGGCTCCCAGGCCCCGGATGGGCTGGCTGTGTGCCCGTTAGCAGGGAAGAAGGGAGCCCAGCTCCGATCTCCCTTCCCCACACGGGGCCCCAACTCACTCCTTCCGCCGGGAGAGCAGCAAGCAGTCATTGAAGAGGTGCAGGTAGACCGCCTTGCTGGACAGCTTCAGCTTGGCGGGGGGCGCCGCGGGCAGCGGGGCCAGTTCCACCAGCTCCCCGTGCCGCACCAGCCAGCGGGCCTGGGAGATCAGCGGGAAGATCTGGGCGGAAGGAGAAGGCGAAGAGGGAGAAGAGGTCAGACCCGGGGCAGCGGGGCAGAGAGCACAGGCCAGGGAGGGGTGGGGGCAGTGACGCATTGGCCTGCAGCCCCCAGGGAAAAAGGGAACAAGAACTGCCCTTCGTGTGCCCACCCGCCCGCTGTGGGCACGCACCTTGCCCTCGAAGTGGATCTTCTTGCTCAGGTGGATGAGTTCCTCCGTCCTCTTCATGGACTGCACGCTGGCATTGCATTCTTGCACCAGCTGGGGAGGTTGTGGGTGGGTCATCCGCAGCCCCGCAGCCCTGGCTCCCTCAGCCCCGGCTCCCACAGCCCAGCCTCAGACGCCCACCCGGGGACCGTTACGGACACAGCGGGGCTCTGGGGAGGCCCCTGGGAGCCAGAAGGCCCCTGCCCTGCCGAGCTCACCTCCTTGAGGGCATTGAAGGCCTTGGTGGCCATGTCTTCGTCTTCAGAGCCCTGTGCCGTCCGCTTCAAAATGTTCTGGAGGGTGGGGTCGGTTCAATGTGGCAGGCCAGGGCCTCCCCCGTGACCCTGCCCACCCACGGGCGCCCCCCCCCCCCCAGAAGGGGCAGTGGAGGTTCACAGTGGCATCTCGGTCACCCAGCCCCCACTGCAGCCTGTGCCCTGTGGGTACCTCCACCAGCATCTTGAGGCGGGTGATTCTCTGGAACGGCAGGATGAGGAAGGAGGTAAGGGGCAGGCGTTGACACACGGGAGACTCCTCCAGGCGAGCCAGGATGCCAGGGAACTTGGGGTTCTCCAGGCTGGAAGTTGGGGAGGGGCCTGGGGTCACAGCTGGGTCTGAACTCCTGGGATCCATGACCCAGCCACCCCCGTGGTCCTTCAGGTGCCTTCTCAGCACATCCTTCCTGCCCGCTGGTCACAGAGCCCCGTACAGGGACGCCCTCCCACTCAGGCCACCCTTCCTCACCCAGTCCCCCACCCCTACGCCCACCCGAGAGCTGTCCTCCCCCCTGTCCGAGGGCCCAGCCCTACAGCAGGCGCTGGTAGGTGCGCTCCTGGTAGGCCTGGTTGGTGACGTAGGGCAGGTAGACTCGGCGGAAGGCGGGGCAGTGGCGCAGCACAATGTCACACACACTGAAGCGCAGGACGTCTGCCTCCAGTCGCTGCTCCAGGTCCTGCAGGAACCTGAGGGGTCAGCGAGGGGTCAGGGACAGCGTGAGACCCCAGACCTAGGAACCCCGGGCCAATCTCATCCCCGCCCCCCACCAGGCCAGGCCCTTACCTCTCGCTGGTGCTCTTGACCTCGGGCAGTTTGGAGAACAGCCACTGCTTGTCCTGTGCGCCCAGACACTCACTCAGCTCCGCTGAGCCCAAGAAGTGGCCCACGGCCACCGACAGGCTGTGGATGTACGAGGCCTCGGACGTGATCAGCTCAAACTTGGCCTGAGGCAGACGAGGGGTTGAACCGTCAGACCAGTCCACCCGGACGCCTTTCTGGCCCCCGGACACCGCCTCTTGTTCCCCACCCCTGATCTGGTGCCTGGTGGGGTTCAGGACCCATCTCCTGCCCAGCACAATTGTTCAAACCAAACTGGAGCCCCTAGCCCTGGGTGGCCCCGCCCCTTTTCTTGCCCCCCCCCCCCCCCCCCCCCCCCCCCCGCTGCTCGGTTCCGCTAGGGCTGGCTCTGCAGCTCCCAGGTCCCGGCTTCCAGCGATCCCTCCTCCCCTGGCCCAGCCTGAATCGGCCCCTCCTCGGGCCCTGCCCTCTCCTAGGCCTCGCCCCCGGGGATCCCGCCCCTTCGTCCCGCTTCTCCACCGGCTTTCGGCTCCAGGGCTCCTCCGAGGTCTCCAGCAGCCAGCCCCCGCCCGGTCACGTCCTAGCAACCCCCTGGGCACTGCCCGTCCCCTCGGTCCCGCCCTCTGGTGGCCCCGCCTTCCCCACCTTCTGCACCTTGCAGCCCGGCTGGCCTGCGACCCCCTGTACCCCGGGCCCGCGCTAAGTCCCCGGGCCAGGTTCTCCTGGCCCCGATCCATAGTGTAAGTAGCCCCCTCCCCTCGGGACCTCGGACCCCGTCCAGGCCGGCAGCGCGCACCTCCTGCAGCTTGCAGTCGCGCAGGCTCAGCGTGGCCAGCACGCCGCTGCCGCGCACGTCGGGGATGTCCTGCCAGAGCGAGAAGGTGGAGCCGCGCGCCGAGCGCTGCGCGCGGAAGGAGCTGCTGGGGGAGAGGTTGGCGCGCGGCGGCCCGGGCCCCTCCTCCGCGCCCTCGGCCTCGTCCCCCGCGGCCTCCTCCTCGCGCTGCTGCCGCCGCAGCTCGCGGGCGCTGGCCACGTCGCTGTATTCCTGGTAGAGGACGGCTGGGCGGGGAGGGCGGGGGCTGTGGGCGCCGCCGGCCGCGGCCCGGCTCCGCCCGGCCCCCCGAGAGCCAGTTCCCTCCGCAAGCAGCGGGACAGTGAATGCATTCATTCGTTCATTCATCCTTTCATTCATTCACTCACTCCATAAACACCGCTTGAGCACCCACTGCGTGCTCGCCCCCGTGCTGGGAACTGGGATTCCGTCCTCTCCCTCCCACACGACCCCTGCGTCTCCACTCTCGGACCCGGGTCTCCCGGTCGCCCCAGGCCCTCAGCCCCTCCCTCCGCGGCCCCCTCCTGCGTACAGTTCAGGAGGAACCGTGACTGTCGCCGCTCGCTGGCGCTTCTGGAGCCCGGAGCCGGCTCTTCCTGCGACTCCAACCTGCAGAGAGGGGGGCGGGGGGAAGACACACGTCGGGGTGCCGCGGCGTGCACCCCGGCCTCAGACCCGACCCCGGAGGGGGAGGTGCTACCTGGCCTCGGGCCCGCCGCCGCCGGGGTCCGCAGGGGCTGCCATCGCGGCGCCCTCCACCCTCATCTCCGCGCTGCTGGACTCCCGTCCCGGCGCCGCTTTCCCTGGAGAAGGCGAGAGCGGAGGAGGGTGGGGGGTGGTCCTGGGCAGCCGGGGCCGCACTCCAGCGGAGGGCACCCGCCCCGTGTGTGCGGGGAGTGAGCCTGGCTCCACCCACATCTGGCTCCCGGGCTGCCCTTGGGGCCGAGGGGAGGGGCAGGTACCTTCCCGGGCCGCTCCCGCCGGGCCCGGTGCTCGGGCCGCCGAGTGCCGCCCCAGGCGCAGGGAGGAGTGCAGCCGGGTCATCAGCTCCGAGGCCGAGAAGCGCCTCCGCTCAGGCCCTTCCAGGCCCCCGCGCGGGGGCCCCGCCGGCTCCGGAGGCCTGGGCTCCTCCGGGCTCCGGGCCGGCTCTGCCACCTGGCCGGGCTCCAGGAAGACGGCGTGGGCCTCGGGGCCGCCATGGGCCTCTTCGCTCTGGTACACCCGCATCTTGCGCCCTGCAGGTGGGGTGAGGGCACAGGCTGGCGACCCCGGGGCTGGGGCTCTCTCCCACCTCCTCTCTGCTGCTGCCCCGTGGCCCCGAGCATCTAGGCAACATGTCCAGGTGAAAGGGCAGTGTGTTTGCTGAGAGCTGGTCCCCAGAGAAATGAAACCAGCTGGAGGGGCAGAGGGCGCACAGTGTTGACTGCAGTGGGCAAAGGGTGAGCGGAAGGCCAGGGCGCCCGGGACAGCCACCCTACTTGCTGTGCGACTGCAGACAAGGCATTCCAGTCCCCCTGAGCTCCGGCTCCCCTATCGCCAAAACCTACCACTCGTTCTGCCTGTTTTGGGGGACTCTGGGACTTAGGAGTCCTAAAAAGCCACCAACCTCTCCCCTACTCACCCCTCTGGACCACCCCTCTCTCCCCCTCCCCATCCTCCCACCCGGTCACCCAGAGTGACTCACAGGCTGACTTCTTCTCGGAGCCGTGGCTGGCCCGGCGCTGAGGCTGTGTGTGCTGGGGACTCCAGGGCCCCTCCAGAGGTGGAGGCTGGGCACTAGGGCAGTGTGGCCAGCTGCCAGCCCTGCTGGGCCGCATCCCCCCACTGGGAGAGGGCTCGGTGTCTGGGACTCCTGGGGCCGGCGACCATAGCAGCCCCTGGAGAGGAGCAGGGGTCCCCAGGGACCAGCGGCTGCCAGGGGCCTGCAGCTCCTCAGGGGTGACAGGGAAGAGATCCAGACACACCGAGCTTGGGGGCTGCAGGGTGGGCAGCTCCACAAAGGACAGGCTCTCCTGCTGGCACACCGCTACTGGGAGGCAGGCCGTGCCAGGTGGCACAGCCAGTGGGGGCTGGAGGGTGGCAGGTAGCCCACAGTCCATTCCTCCTGTGCTCTGCCAGTCACCTGGGCCTGGAGGGGAGAAGATATCAGAACCAGACACAGGCCCTAACTGGTTTGGCTCAGTGGATAGAGCGTCAGCCTACAGACTCAAGGGTCCCAGGTTCGATTCCGGTCAAGGGCATGTACCTTGGTTGCGGGCACATCCCCAGTAGGGGGTGTGCAGGAGGCAGCTGATCGATGTTTCTCTCTCATTGATGTTTCTAACTCTCTATCCTTCTCCCTTCCTCTCTGTAAAAAAATCAACAAAATAATCTAAACCGGTTTGGCTCAGTGGATAGAGTGTCTGCCTAAGGACTGAAGGGTCCCGGGTTCGATTCCCATCAAGGGCATGTACCTTGGTTGTGGGCACGTCCCCAATGGGGGGTGTACAAGAGGCAGCGGATCGATGATTCTCTCGTCGATGTTTCTAACTCTCTATCTCTCTCTCTTCCTCTCTGTAAAAAATCAAGAAAAAAAAATATATTTTTTTAAATCAATAAAATATATTTTAAAAAAAGAACCAGACACAGGACAGCAGGGCCTGGAGGCCTGGACAAACCCTGATACAGCCATGTGTACACGCATTTGTCCCAGCACGCTCACACACCTAATTACACAGGAATCCCTCATCCTTACACAGCATTTAATCAATGATAGGCAGGTGCTTTATACATTGCATTTCATTTATCCTCACCCCTCAACCCCATTATCCTCATACCCCCCTCATATGGGTGAGGAGAGTGAGGCACAGAGGTATTTGGTGAATGGTGGAACCGGGATTCATACCCAGGCAGTCCAGCCTCTGAGCCTGTGCTTTTTAACCACCTTGTGCACTTCCTAACTCAGACGTATGATCAGATGTACAGATACATACACTGTCATGTACATACATGCACACACATTTTCTCCCAAGTACACACACTGACATACACAACTTCACCGATATGCTCAGACATTTCCCATTCAAGGCTCACGCATTCACACACTCCTTTACACGACCGCACATTTTCACACACAGGGACCCCTCCGTTATTTACATAGCCACTCGAGCTCTCTCCCACTCCTGTTCCGGTCACACTCACCCACCGGGCTGCAGACACAAACACGCAGGCCTCGGAAGTCCCGGCTCTGGTGTTACCCAACCTCCCTTCCCATGCCCAGCGTTGCAGCTTTCAGCGCTGAGTGGTGCCCACACCCATGCCAAGCTGGCTGGGAGAGTCACAGACTGGCAGGCGCGCCACCAGGCAAATCAGGCTGGGCACTCCCAGGAGCGGGACGGGGAGGTGCCCCGAAGAAGGGTTTCTTCCCCACCCCGGCTTCCAGCCCTGGGAGCAGGCCAGGCTGGATGGGTCCTCCCTGCAAAGGAAGTCACCCCAGGATGCTGCTGGGGCCTGGGGACAGGCCTAACGACCCAGGGGTCCAAGCCCCCACAGCCCCGGCCCCCTGCCGGCGGCCCTCCTGCGCCCCTCACCTCTCCCGCTGAGGCTGCTGCTGGTCGGCTGCTCCGGCAGGGGAAGCCCTCTCTCTGCCCAGCTGGCTGGGGGAGATCCCACCCAGACAAAGAGTTTGATTCATCAAACCCTGTGGTGAGGCAAGCGGCAGGGAGGGAGGGAGCAGGCAGCGGCTGGGCGGGGGCCTACCCTAGCCTGGCCTCGCTGTGGGCAGGCAGGGCAGCTAAGACCCCCCCCCCCAATCCCCAGAGGCCCCTCAGGCCAAAAGGGCAGTGCCCAGCCTGGCAGGGCCAGGAGGCCCAGGAGAGAGGGAGACTCGGAGAAATGGAGACCTTTCAGCAGCAGCTTAGACACGGAGACCCGAAATGCTGAGACAGCCAGGGACACAGAGATGGAGACGGTGACGCTGACAGTTTCAGACAGACCGGATGCTGTGGAGCCCAGAAAAACCCGGAGGCAGATGGAGGAACATGGCGTGCCCTGCGGGGTTGCCAGTCCAGGAGGGGAAGCCAAAAATGAAAAGTTACAATCCAGGTTGGCGAAAGCAGGGCCAGGGGAGCCATCGGAGCAGGGTGCTGGGCTTGCCTCCACCTGAGCTCTCCAGGAAGGCTTCCTGGAGGAAGGAAAAGCTAACTGTTCTGACGGAAATATCTGGGGACCCAGTACACGTAGGTCAGGGAGAAAGCCTAGGCCTGCAGGAAACTGTGACGATGTCAGTGACCCTGGGAGAAAGGGAGAGAGGACCCAGAGGGGACAGCTGGATCTGTGACTGGACCCCACTCTCTCCGCACCTACCCTCTCAACTCTTTTTTATTGATTGATTGATTTCAGAAAGGAAGGGAGAAGGGGGGGGGGGAGAGAGAGAGAGAGAAAGAGAGAGAGAGAGAGAGAGAGAAACATCAATTGAGAAACATTGATTGATTTCAGAAAGGAAGGGAGAAGGGGGGAGAGAGAAGAGAGAGAGAGAGAGAGAGAGAGAGAGAGAGAGAGAGAGAGAGAGAGAGAGAATCATTCATCGGCTGCCTCCTACACACCTCCTACTAGAGATGGAGCCTGCAACTGGGGCATGTGCCCTTATCGGGAATCGAACTATGACTTTCTGGTTCATAGATCGACAGTCAACCACTGAGCCACACCAGCCAAGCACTTTCGCTTGTATATTAAACCTCTGTCCATCTAAGCAAGTCTCTCAGTTTCCTCATCTGGTAACTAGGATAGTCATGTCCTACACTAATATGAGAATTAAGAATAACGTAATTGGTCATTGGTAGTCATTCTGAGTGTTATTAGTCTTTCTCCAGTCAGGGGCTATCACACAGATGGGGAAACTGAGGCAGTGAGGGTGAGTCATACCCAACTTTGTAGGAGCATCTGGCAGGAGACAGGGGACCACTGTCCACCACACAGGTCTCTTTCTCTCCAGGAAGCAGAAGCCCTCGACACAGAAGTCTCACTTGCTTCTGTGGGCACAGGCATGCAGTAACACAAGAATGCAAGAACACACACATGGAAGAACACACGCATGCCCCTGCTTCCTTGTATTCTGGGAGACTTTCTCCACTTGGGCTCTGCAAGGGCAGGGAGGCACCACCCCCTCCCCTGTCAGTTGCAGAGAGAAATGAGCAAAACATGGAGCCCTGGGGCAGGAACACCCCCTCCAAAGCCTCAGGGGGGGAGGCTGGGTGGCGGAAAGCTTCCTAGGGGGAGGCAGGAGCCGGGAGCCGGGCTGGAGGCAGGTCTCTAGGCGGGGGAAGCCGGGGTCCAGGCCCAGGGGCATAGGAATGACCCATCTAGCTGGGCTGCCGGCCCCGTGACCTTCCAGGCCTGTGGCCCCTCTACCTCAGGGCTGGGGACCGAGGAGGGGCCGAGCTGTGTATATACTGTGTGTAGCTCATCTCTGCTGGAGAAGAGAAACTTCACGAAGAGAACTGGCCAAGGGAGCAGAGACATTACCTGCCCAAGACATGATCGCAGGAGACTCTAGTGCCCACTAGGCCAGTCACAGTCCTTCTGGAACCCACGGGGAAAAAACCCTGCCAAGGTTCAAGGCCCAGTGTGGACATGAACAAGCTGTGTGGCCCTAGGCAGGTCTGTCCCTGGGCCTCCGTGTCCCCATCAGCAAATCAGGATCCTCCGCAGGATGGGAAGGATGGTCAGGGGCCCAGAGTCCATCCAGGGGGCACTGCTAGTCACAGGACAATGGATCCTTGGCAAGGCTGGCAGAGAGGATCCCCTGGGCACTACCATAGTCCAGGGAAAGCAGCTCTGGCCTCCTGTACCCAGCTTTTCCCTGCCCCTTCCCTGGTACCCCTTGCCCTGGTGCCCGGAGGAGTAGGGACCCTACCCAGGCCCCTCAGCCCCTAAAGGGACAAAGCCAAGCGGAAGGTCATGGCCCGAAAGGGGATCCCGGCCCAGCAGGCTGTGGAGCCCAGAAAGGCGCGGTGAGTGCGGCGGGCAGCACAAAGGACTCCCTCGGGAAGGCTGGCGGGAGAAGGATGGGCTGCTGGCAGCCAGGTGGGGCCCTACCTCAGCCAGGGAGCTCCTTCCGGTCCAGCCTCCCGCACGGTCCAGGGCTCCAGGCCACCCTGGGGGCTCTGGGGCTGCAGCCAGGTCCTCAGGGGGCGATGTCAGCATGGCCCCGAAGCCCGGGCAATGCAAGCTCCTGGGTATTGTGTGGGGCAGGGAGGGGGGAGGTGAAGGCGGAGGGAACCTCGCAGGCGGGCAGGCGGCTGTCTCAACGTGCCTGCTCCCCGCCCCCCTTCCCCAGAACCGGTTTGGCCAGTCTGGGGTACAGAGGGGGGCTGGAACAATGGGAGTCCTATGCCCAGGAGAGGCTCCGGAGGACCCCAGACCGACACCCTAAAGATGGGGAGGCGCTGCTTTTCCTCCCAGGAGACAGGTCACCCCCTTCCAGAGCTTCCCGGGTGTGAGGGGCGCTCAGGACTTCCCTGGGAGCTGGCGAGCATCCTGGGGGCTTCGCAGGGAACCTCTCAAGCCTTGGACTCCTCAGGGACCTTGAGCACGCCTTGGTGAGCTGACCTCGCTGAGCCGCGACCGCATCTATAAAATGGGAACACTCATCCCTATGGTTGGGAGGTGGAAATCATGAAGGTAGGTGATGCATCTGCCATCATCCTGGCCAGTCCTTCCAGCTCCTCACGAATGACCCATCTCATCACCTCCAACAGCCTCCTCCTCCTTCAGGAAGTCTTCCCAGACTCTAGTCCACACCCAGTGGGCCCCCAATACACCAGTTCAGATAGCCCAAGCAGGACCCGTGCCAGGGACGGAGGGCCTACTCTGTGCCCGGCATGCATTCCCAAGCCTGGGAAAGCGGAAGCTGCTTTCTCCCTCACACCACCTGCCTTCCTCTGAGCACTCAGGCACCTCCCAGCAACATGAATACGTACATGCATGCTAGTATCCATGCCGCTGATAACTCACGTTGTACACTCACTATGTGCCTGGCACTCACTGTTCCAGCTCTCTCTCCTTAGATGAGGACACGAGGCTTGTACAGGCTGTAACGGGCATTATCCCATTTAAATCT